ATAGCACTAAAATTTGCTGCTGAATTGCTCATGATCATTTGTTGTAGTTGTTTTCCTTTTTTTCTTCTTTTTTTATTTTTTGCTGGTCATGGAGCTTGAACTCTGGGCCTGGGTACTGTCCTGAGCTCTTCAGCTCAAGGCTAGTGCTCTACCACTTGAGCCATAGCACCTACTTCCAGCCTTTTCTGTGTATGTGGTGCTGAGGAATCGAACCCAGGGCCTCATGCATGCAAGGCAAGCACTCTACCCCTGAGCCACGTTCCCAGCCCCGTTTTCCTTTTTTTAAAAACCAAATTACTGAATATCTTTTCAAATGTACAAAGGATAATTTAGCTCATTCAGCCTTGGTTCCACTGAACAGCAGTGAACAGGTGCCATGTATGAGGAGCTGGCCCTCACTAGACAACAAATGTATCAATTAACATCATGATCTCTGATGTTTCCAGCTTCCAAAACTGTGAAGAATAGATGTCTGCTGTCTATAATCCACAAGATGACCAACCATTTTTCTATTCCTTACAAGAGCAAAAGGTCTTAACCTACACAATCAACACAGTGGCACACCCAGCGATACTTAACTTCACAAACTCCCAGCATAGGCCTTTAGAAATATTTTTCCCTCAAACCAGGCGGGATTGGAAATCGCAATCCTTTTACCTTAATCTCTTAGTGCTGGGATTACAGATATGTGCTACCTTCCTTGGCTACTGGTAGACTGATAAAGACACTGAGCAGTAGAGAGATAGTTCATTGTCAGCAAGTGTTTTAATCTCAGAGAAGGTCTCCAGCTACCCCATTCACTACAGAGAATGGGGAAGTTGTTTGAGTTACTGGATAGCTAAGGGAACTAAATGGTGGTTAGGCCCCTTAGTTAACCAGTCTCCTCTTTCGCCCTTGGTGACAGTGATAACAGGTAGGTCAGGGCTGGGGTTGGGGGGGGGGGGTGCGTTCTGGTACAAGCCTATGGAAGGATGGGAGGGGCTTTCCTCTAATCCACCTGGGATTAGAGTGACATGACGCCTGACACAAATGTGGCTACCCTGAAGTCCATGCTAACAGCAAGGAAGCACTTGACTTGGGGTAGAGAATTAGATTGACTATTAGATATAGAGTCTATTGTTTTCAAATGTTAGTTGTTTATCTTCCCAGACTTCAGTCCTCTGCCTGTCTTCTCCTATATATGTGTCCAACATAAGAAATGGTCTTAAAGGGGCTGGGAAGGTGGCTCAGTGGTAGAGCGCTTGCCTTGCATGCTCGAGGCCCTGGGTTCGATTCCTCAGCACCACATAAGCAAAAAGAAAAAAGCCGGAAGTGCCACTGTGGCTCAAGTGGTAGAGTGCTGGCCTTGAGCTGAAGAGCTGAGGGACAGCGCCCAGGCCCAGAGTTCAGGCCCCACCACTGGACCAAAAAAAAAAAAAAGAAATGGTCTTAAATACTGTCTAGATTGAGCACATGTTAATTTCTGCCCTTTCTCTCTTTGAAGTTTGGGTCTTTTTATCATATGTACCCCTTACCTGCTTTATTTATTTACTTTTGGTAAATGTGTTAGTGAAGTTTATTAGGAAAGGAATACACTGTTAATAGACTGAAAGTCATCTCTAGGTAGAGAACAACCATGATTTTTACCCCAGCACAAGTATCATTAATGATTAGGGACCTGGAGCATTAAACCCCTCTCCAGGACAAACCATTGGGGCAGTCATTGTCCCTGGGGGAGGGAGGTTTACCAGTGACTTCAAGGCTGTGTTTAACTAAGTTACAAATCCATTGTTTTAAGAACTATTTGTTGACTCACCTTAGGCTATCTTTAATCCTTCCTGAGTGAGGTACTTAAAAAACAAAATGAAAACAAAAGTTTACTGGACCAGGGGGCCCCTTAGGCTGTTTTAAAAGCTGAAGGATAATGTTTTCTTAGAGACCTAGTGATCTCTTCTCCTAGTTAGGTCCCTTGGGTTTACCATCCTTTTCTCCTTGAGGGCTTGAGGTCCTAAAATCTGTGAGGGAACTGCCTGTCTTTGGTTACTGCCTGCTGATTCTGATTCCCGCTGAAGTCTGAAGTCAGGAATCTCTTTCCCTGGGTCAGCTGGGGTCTCAGTCTTGAATGATCTGCTGAATCATCTGGTTTTTTTTGTTTTGTTTTGTTGTTGTTTTTTGTTTTTGCCAGTCCTGGGCCTTGAACTCTGGGCCTGGGTTCTGTCCTTGAGCGCCTTTTGCGCAAGATAGCACTCTACCACTTGAGGCACAGCACCACTTCCAGCTTTTTCTGTATATGAGGAATTGAGGACTTCATGCATGCTAGGCAAGCACTCTACCACTAAGCCACATTCCCAGCCTGACTCATCTGTTTTATTACAATATGGTTTTTCCAAACACATAGGAAAGCCTTTGAGAGTGAATACTCCAGATTTTTATAGTTACCCATTTATTTGCTTTGTTCTGTACCTGTCCACTCCGTCCATTCCTCTAACCATTCACCTCAGAACTTGGGGTACATTTCAAAGGAGGGTGCAGGTTACTATCTTAGCCTTTGATGTATAGTGTTTGTTTTTTCCTTTCAACTCTAGATTTAAAAAAAAACCAACACATTGGGCACTGTGGCTCATGCTTGTAATCGTAGCAACTCAGGAGGCTGAGACCTGAGGATCCTAGTTCAAAGCTAACATGGACAGAAATGTCCTTGAAACTCTTTTTATTTATTTATTTATTTATTTTTTTTGGGTCCGGTCGTGGGGCCTGAACTCTGGGCCTGAGCTCTGTCCCTCAGCTCTTCAGCTCAAGACTAGCGCTCTACCTCTTGAGCCACAGCCCCACTTCCGGCTTTTCTTTTCTGCTTATGTGGTACTGAGGAATCGAACCCAGGGCCTCATGCATGCAAGGCAAGTGCTCTACCACTGAGCCACCTTCCCAGCCCCTGTCCTTGAAACTCTTATCTTCAAGTAACCAGTAAAGAGCTAGAAGTGGAGGCATGGTTCAAGTGGTATTCAAGCCAGCCTTGAGTAGAAGAGCCAAGTGAGAGCTTCAGGTTCTGAGTTGAACCATGCGCCTGTGCACGTGTGTGCACACACACTATTTCCCTCCACCCCCCGGTTGTGGGGCTTGAACTATGGGCCTGGGTGCTGTCCCTGAGCTCTTCAGCTCAAAGCAAGTGCTCTTAACGCTTGAGCCACTGCCACTTCTGGTTTTCTGGTAGTTTATTGAAGATAAGAGTCTCATGTACTTTCCTGCCCATTCTAGCTTTGAACCATGATCCTCAGATCCGAGCCTCCTGAGTAGCTAAGATTACAGGCGTGAGCCATTGGTGCCCAGCCACATTGCCTTTTCTTTTCTTTTTTTTTTTTGTACTACTGGAATTTAAAATCAGGGCTTTGCATTTGCTAGGCAGGTGCTCTACCCCTTGAGCTCTGTCCCCAGTTCCCCTAAAATGATTTTTATACCTTATGAGGTTGCCCTGTTTCCTCTACTTGCCCCAACCCACACATCTGCTCCATTTGCAAGCAATCTAGGATTCCGCGTAATGGTCCACATTACACAAATCTGGTACCCACACTTTATTAATCTTTATTCTTCAGTTTCTCTCCCTATTACTTCCTCTCTTATCTCGTCACTCAGCATGACTTTTCATTTGCTGTCCCTTCTCTCTTTCAGCTCCCCAGCAGATAATTTTGAAACTAAACAACAGCTGAACAATGTCCCCAGTGTCATGCGTGTCTGGGTATGCACCGCACGTCCATGCTTGCCCAGAACAGAAGCAAAACACAGTTTCTTCTATTTTATTTATTTACATCAAAAGTCATTAAATCTGCCTGCATGACTTTCAATCCATTGGACTATTTTTAATATCTGTGTAATTGAGTAAGTCAGGCTACATTCCTTCGTAGAAGAAATCCTTGCTACTCAGTGGCAAGGCAGATATGCTCAGAGAACAATGACTCTTTGTAGGGCTGGAGAGAGACTCCGCCATCCTACAATCACTGGATTGTGTAAGTTATTATATGTCAATCCATGCTAGTTACATATTTGCATTGTTGTGCAAGTATTTTCTTATGCCTTTTTGAAGGGAATCCTGCTCTGGCAATGCAGAATTAAAAGACTCTGTTACTCAATCTAATGGTTTCTTTCTGTTACCCATGCCAGGGGTAGTTCAATTTTTCATGAAAGACTATCTGCTGTAAGGTAAAAGACTACAAATAATGTCTAGCAACTCAGACATCACTATATTTTCTGTAAAACAAAAAGCAACATGAAGGAGCCCTTTCCTCTTGGTATCAATTTTATAGCAACCATATCTAGGATTAATTACAAAGTTGAGTTGGCAATTTCTAAGTAAAAAGGAGAATTAATTTTTTTTTAATAATCACATACTAGGGGAAGAAAGTGAAAAGAAAATTTTCAACTGGGCACCGGTGGCTCATGCCTATAATCCTAGTTACTTGGGAGGCTGAGATCTGAGGATCATGGTTCAAAGCCATGGGAAGAAAAAAACCCAAGAGATTTATCTCCCGTTAACCAACAAAAGGCTGAAAGTGGAGCTGTGGCTTAAGTGGTCAAGCTCTAGTCTTGAATGAAAAAGCTAAGTGAGAACTCAAGGCCTTGAATTCAAGCTCCAGTACTGGTACGCTCACATGCATAAAAGAAAAAGAGCTTGGGAGTAGCATCTAGGCTCTGAGTTCAAGCCCCACATCTGACCAAAAAATTAAGGTCCAAAATTATGCTAGCAATTTCTTCTTTGAGATATCTTAATTTCCTTGTACCTGACCTCTTTCTTGCTTTTATGCTTGGGTGTTGGAGAGGTGTGAGTTCATTCATTCAATTCCCACTAGGCACTTGATTGAATGCTAAGCATATCCTTGCCCAGATACTGTTCGTTGTAATACTTTTGAATGCCATAATAGATTCCTGCATATTTTGTCTGCATTTAATCAATTAACCTCTCTTCCTTCTTCTACTCAAGACACAATGGGCAAAGTAAAATATAATTGAATTCTGTTTTCTCTCTTCAGAGGAAAAGGACCAAATTCATTGCTTGTGATTACCTGACTGAGTGGTTGTACAAGTAAGTTAAGCATTCTTTCTTTCTTTCTTTATTTTTAGTTTTTGCTGGTTCTGGGGTTTGACTCAGGATCTGGGCTCTGTCTCTGAGCCTCTCTGGGCTCAGTGCTCTACTACTTGAGCCACAGCACCACTTCCAGCCTTTTTTGTTTATGTGGTACAGAGGAATTGAACCCAGTGCTTCATGCATGCTAGGCAAGCACTCTACCACTAGGCCACATTCCCGGCCCTGTGTATGTCTTTAAATATTCAGTGTCTCTAAGAATTCCACCATGTTAATTTGCAAGTGGAAGAGCAGCAGTTGACTTCAACTCTCACTTGTGGTCTTCTTGTCCATCAAACATGTGATATCCTGGCCAGCCACAATCCAAAGAGGACAGGAGAAACCTTCACAGAATTCTTCTCCATCCCATTTGTGGAGGAGTGGCTAAAGAATCAGTAAGTAAAGAATTTCCTCCTAATCTTTTCTTTTTCTTTTTCTTCCTGTCAGTCATGAGGATTGAACTCATAGCCTGGGTCCTGTCCTTGAGCTCTTTTGCTTAAGGATAGCACTCTACTATTTTGAGCCATAGCTCTGTTTCTGGTTTTGGAGTGGTTAATTGGAGGTAAAAAGTCTCATGAGGACTTTTCTGCCCCAGACAGCTTTCAACCTCAGTCCTCAGATCTCAGCCTCCTGAGTTGCTACGATTGTAGGTGTGAACCATTGGTGCCCCAGTGCCCTCCTAATCTTAAAATGGTATTAATGAACTAAGTCTAACAGCCTAGGACTCTGGTCAGTTATACCTCGGCCTCTTGTGTCTCGATATTTTTAGCCTGGGTTAAGCTCATCTTAACAATGCAGAGATTCCATTTAAAAAATGAAGTAGAAGCCTGGTGCTGATGGCTCATGCCTATAATCCTAGCCACCCAGGAGGCTCAGGTTTGAGGATTGTGGTTCAAGCCAGCTTGGGCATGAAAGTCCATGAGACTCTTATCTCCAATAAACCACCAGAAAAATGGAAGTGGCGCTATGCCTCAAGTGGTAGAGCGCTTGCATTGAGCTGAAGAATTCAGGGACAGCGCCCAGGCCCAGAGTTCAAGCCCCATGACTGATAAAAAAAAATGAAGTGGAAAACAAGTTTGCCATTATTGTTGTTGTTATTATTATTATTGGAATTTGGAACAGGGGCTTAAACTCAGAACCTGGGTGCTGTCCCTTAACTTTTTGCCTCATAGCTAGTGCTCTACCACGTGAGCTACAGCTCCACTTCTGGGTTTTTACTGGTTGATTGGTCTCACTGACTTTGCTGCCTGGGCTAGCATGGAATACCTGCTATCTCAGCTTCCTGAGTAGCTAGGATTATAGGCGTGAGCCAATTTGGGCTCTGTTTTGTAGATCAGGAGGCTTATTTATTATTCTACCACTAGCCTTACTTGATTCAGAGGTACTTCTGAGATCTAGCCATGTTGATTTGATTACATCTAATCTCTGCTTTTTTTATGGCTTCATAGGGCATATTCCATTTCTAGATTTGTATTAGCTATGTATTCATACAAGAAATGTTTATAGAGTACTACTGTGCACCAGCATCACTTTAGCTGGGCTATTGGGCATAGCAGGAACATCATAGCACAAATCCAAGCCTTTGTGGAATTTACATCCCAGTGAGAGTAAATATGTTAAGTGTTAGGAAAAATAAAGCAGAGAGAAGCATCTGGAATATTGAGGGAGTTTAATTTTATGTGGTGTGGGAAAGATATCTCCTGATTATGATGCATTCAAGCAATATTCTATTATTTTAAGCCTTCAGTAGAAGAAAACAAAGCTCAGTAACTTAGAAGATAATACATATTTCATCTGTTGCTTTGAGAGTGTTTCCATGTCAGTTCTTTGTAAGAACAATGTCAGGAAGTGGAGACACAAGGAAATCAAATGAGGTTTACTAAGTCCCTTTTTAATTTTTTTCTGTAGAGGCATCCTTTCTGTCTCTGTCTCTGACTCTATCTCTCCCTCTTTCTCTATTCTCTCTGTCTGTATAACCTAAGTTAGCCTTGAACTCAGAATCCTCCTGCCTCAGCCTTTGGAGTGCTAGGAATAGAGGTATGCAGTACTATGCCCAGCCTGTCAAGGCATTTTTTTTTCCCCCCGTCGGTTGTGGGGCTTGAACTCTGGGCCTGGGCGCTCTCCCTGTGCTCTTCAGCTCAAGGCGAGCGCTCTACCACTTGAGCCACAATACCACTTCTGGTTTTCTGGTGGTTCACTGGAGATAAGAGTGCCATAGACTTTCCTGCCTGGGCTGGCTTCGAACCATGATCCTCAGATCTCAGCCTCTTGAGTAGCTAGGATTACAGGCATGAGCCACCAGCACCTGGCTTGTCAAGGCTTTTTTTTTTTTGGGGGGGGGGGGGTCCGGTCATGGGGCTTGAACTCTGGGCCTGGGCACTGTCCCTCAGCTCTTCAGCTAAAGACTAGTGCTCTACCACTGAGCCACCTTCCCAGCCCTTGTCAAAGCATTTTTAAGTATAGTGAGAGACTCTTAGCCCTCAGTGTCACATCTTTTGCTTAAATCTGTTTCTTGAGCATGGCAAGTTGAATAGACTCTTGGAGGACCTCCCCATATTGAGAAGAATAATCATAATAATAAAACCAAGATACCACTTGAGCCAAAGCTCCACTTCTGGCTTTTTTTGGTTACTAACTTGAAGATAAGGGTCTCATGGGCTTTACTACCTAGCTGGGTTCAGATTTCCATTCTCAGATCTCAGCCTCCTGAGCATCTAGGATTATAGGCATGAGCCACCTGCCCCTGGCACCAGTTTTCCCTCCTTTTACTGATTTTTTTTTTGTTGTTGTTGTTACTGTAGATTAAATGCAAGAAGTTGCACTTGCTAGGCAAGTGCTTTGCCACTGAGCTACATCCCAGCCCTTTTCTTGGTTCATTTGTTTCTTTTTCTAATCTGAGATTATATTTTGAAAGGAGAACAATATTGGAAAACCTTGTCTCATTTTTTAGCTTCTAAAGCCATGCCCAGGGCTGGTGCACAGGGCTCTAGGTTTGAATCCCAAGTGCCACAAAACAGAAAAGCCAATTGTACGGCTTAAAATGGCTGCCAAGGGCCACAGAAACTCCTAAAAATGATAGATTTCCTAGAAACTGTTACCCTGAACTCCTTGCTTGAACTTGAACCTTGTATTCTCTATTTCCACTACCGTTCCATGAGATGCCCAAAAGCATGATACAAAAATTAAAACAACACTCATCTAATTCATTTGAGAAAATAAATATATTGGAACACCTCTTCACAACTTACTGAGGTTGGTGCTGGAGGAAAAACAAAAACAAAAACAACAGAACCAAGTGATTTATGGTTCCAGCCCTGGGGGTGAGCGACACATGTTTATAACAAGCTGTAGTTTCTGTCGTGAGTGTTGTAATTCAGATGTTAACAAAGCACTAAAGAGAAGTGGGGAAGCAGGAGGCCTTCCAGGGCCTCTCTCTCCTCCTTTTCTCCCCCCCCCCTCTGGAATGGGCCTGGAGCCAGCCCAGCTAGAGCAGTGGCCATGCTGGGTACTGTCCAGATTTAGCCTTGCCAAGCAAGAACTCAGGTGCTGAATTCTTTAGAACGCACAGGATCAGGACAAGCCAGAGAAACAAGTGGAGAAAGTTTCTGTCTCTAGGGGAGCCAAACTCTAATCCAGGTGTCCTCCTCCTCTCATTGCTAGAAGCACTGCTGCCTCCCTAGCTTAGTGGTAGACAAGAACATCCCCAGTCACTGCCTGGTCTTCCAAGCCAACAACAGTGCATCTCTCTGACTTTGTTCCTGATGCACAACTCTGAGTCTCTTGCCTCCATTTAACATTTTTTTGTGCCAGTACTAGAGCTTGAACTCAGGACCTAGCTATACTGTCCCTGAGTTTTTTTTTTTTTTGCTCAAGGCCTGCATTCTACCACTTGAGCCACATCTCCACTTCTGACTTTTTGCTGGTTAATTGGAGATAAGAGTTTCTCCAACTTTCCTGCCTGGCTGGTTCAAACTGTGATCATCAGGTCTCAGCCTCTTGAGTAACTAGGATTACAGGCCTGAGCCACCAGCACATGGCTTGCCTCCATCTTTTTTGCTCTATCATTAGTTCACCTGGAAAACTCAAGTGTAATTTCTTCATCTGGGGATCCTTAACATTAATCACATCTGCAAATAAGTCCCTTTTGCTGCTGTCAGGTGACACATTTGCAGGTCCTGAAATTGTGATCTGAGTGTATTTGGGATCTTTATTCTGACTTCCTTGGAGGAAAATATGGGGAAACTGATGGTGATTCTCTCCTCAGGATCTCTTTATCTTTCTGGAGATAACTTCCATTACAAAACTGTGGCGTTAGTAAAAATGATCCGTGCTCAGTGAAAAAATAATCAAGCAAAACAGAAGCAGAAGGCCCCAAATTACCTCAGAGCCTGATTCCATGTCAGCCATGTTGCCATTTTTGACGTGCTATACATTGAATGAATGTGCAGATAGATATAAGAAGATGTGTTTTCACTGTTCTGAGACCAGAGCTGACACTGTCAGGAAATTTGAGCAGAGGGACCACAGTGCCACCGTCCCGCTGGGGGCTTGAGAGGGTTCAGTTCTCTCTCCTAGATGTGTAGGTGCAAAGGCATCTGCTGCGAAGGAGGGAGGGGCCTGCGGGGGTTGCACCAGCTGCTATGGAAAGACCCATAGAGAGGAATAGGGCTTGACAGGGGCGACCCCCCCTCCCATGGCCCGATTCAGGGTGCACATAAACAGGCTGTTGCTGTGATTGTCACTAGCAGGCCTCCGCAGCCCTGGAGAGGGGGTCGAGAGACAGATGGTAGGTGGACTTAGAGTTCCATATTGGCAAAGGCCAATATCATAGCAAGTCCACACAGGGCCCAGAATATCTTTAGCCTCAGGTGAAAGCTTTGTTGTCTTTTCTAAAGATAAAGATAAATGTCAGATAAAGATATCATGCAGCCTAACCTAAGCTAAAGGGAAACTAGGATCCTTCAGTTCCCTTGACGGTAAGCCCCTGATTGACCTAAGGACCTCCCATGAGGCTCCACCTCTTAAAAGCCCCACCACCTCCCAGTGCCATCAGCATAGGAACCTTGGATAAGCAGCAGTTTCGGGTCAGATCAAGAATTTGGGAAAATGAGATGTGACAGTCTTCAGAAAGAAAAACCCACTTGTTTATACAATTTACAAGAAAAAAATTTAAATCCTTTTAGTCCTGATTTTAACTCTCTCTATGGTGTGTGTGTGGTGTGTGTGTGTGTGTGTGTGTGTGTGTGTGTGTGTGTGTGTGTGTGTGTGTGTGTGTGTATGTATGTATAGTCTTTTCTGTTTTTGGAACTGGGGATCAAATCCAGGATGTTGCAGTTGCTAGGCAAGCTCTTTGCCATTGAGCTACATCCCAACCCTAGTCCTGATTTTAGACTAT